TTTTTCTGCAGGGATGGGGATTTGTGGTCTTCAAGTTGAAGGAGGTGCTTGGGATAAGATACATTCATTAAGTGTGGTCTTATCCTCATCTATTTTGGTCGTGCCCGAGTTTTTAATTGGAAACGAAAGTGAAAGGAAATATCAAAATGTTTTTGTGTAATGTAAAAAAGAAAACAAGGATGAGGTTAGGCTTTTATTTATTGAAGTGAGCCACTGTCAGCCGATTGCCGGAAGAACTTCAATTTATCTGGGAGTTTATAGCAAACCCAGACGATCTTTTTAAGCTAGCGAGGGCTTGTTTTCTTTGCAATGAAGTGTGTCACATTACACACAGAGTCTCTTGTGGAGTTTTGTGAAACAGGATTCATTCATTGGAGGGCAACGTGTAGGCGTTGGTGTGTAATTAAGAAGACGATGGTGCTCGGAAATGAAATGCAGCTTCGAAGCCGCGGGCCGTTCTAGTTCACCTTTACAAACAGAAAAATCAGTGTCTCAAATCTTGTGTTATGTGGTCATGCTGCTGGGTTTTCCTTGTGCATAAATCCTGCCATGCACATGAATTCACATCAAAGTCTAACTCTGGGGCATGTAGAAAAAAAAAAAAAGAAAAGATTAAGATCTTTGAAGCCTCCTTTTTTTATCTTGCTGTCAGAATAACAAAGCTTCATGCAAGGGTTTATTTACTGAACAGCACTGACACACAGTAATAAGCATGAAGAAAATATTTGGCCTGCAATTATTATAGCAGTGACAGGGAACATACCAAGTAAAGCTTGATTTAAAGTACTGTTTGCTCACGCCTCCATGCGAGAAGCAGAAGCCTTTTTTTTTTTGTGCTGGCTATCCATATTTTTTTATTTTTTTTTTTCTAAAGCAGCTTTTCTGGTATGATGACTGAGAGTTTCCACTCTCAGGCAATAAAATAGAGCAGGCTGTGTGTGACTGCTGCTAAGAGACTTATCCCCCAACACTCTGTATCCCACAGATGTTTCTCAAGCTATCAGTTGCTTGGATAAACATGAACATTTCTACCAGGGGTTCTGCGAAATGGCCTGCAAGACACATAATTCTTGTTTGCTGTGTTTTTGCAGTGCTGTTTCAACCCTTAAAAAACAGATATAACATGCAGTATGTTCATGTGCATTATAGGAAGCTTATGTGATGGCCAGTGTGGAACACCCGCATGTGTGCCGTCTGCTGGGTATCTGCCTCACCTCGACGGTTCAGCTCATAACGCAGCTGATGCCGTACGGCTGCCTGCTGGACTACGTCAAAGAAAAAAAGGACAATATTGGCTCCCAGCACCTGCTCAACTGGTGTGTTCAGATAGCCAAGGTGAGCGAATCACTTTTTATTTACTTTTTGCTACTTATATAAAACAGTGCTTCACCCACCACATTGAACTTCTGTTAAACGATCTGCTCTCATGCATTAGTTCATTTTTGTTTTATTAAAGGGTATGAACTACCTGGAGGAGCGCCACCTAGTGCACCGTGACTTAGCAGCCAGAAACGTCCTGGTCAAGACTCCTCATCATGTCAAGATCACTGACTTTGGGCTGGCCAAACTCCTCAACGCAGACGAGAAGGAATACCATGCAGATGGAGGAAAGGTCGGTTTGGTCTTAAAGGCGCAGTGTGTTATTTTTGTTGTTTTTTATTATGATGGGATGATGGGACTGGGCCATCGGTGGCACCACGTTAATCGTTTTATTTTTATCAACGTTGTTGCACCTTTTCATGTTCATGTTTTACATCTACACAATATCAGGAAGGTAAGAACTTGAAGTACTTTCAAATAGTCATAAACTACAGACTAAAAGTTTTGAAAGATGATTATACTTAATACAAAATTAGGATGAATTCATTGGTATATTTTGGAACAAGATGAACATGATTTATTCTATCAATCTAAAATTTGTTTTCAGAACAATTTTTACCATTTTCAGTGATTCTTTTTCTTGTCCGTACTTTTTATTAACCTCCTCTGACTTGAAGAACATCATGGCATTCGTATTAAAATGCAAACTGTAATTTTTTTTGCATACTTTTGCATACTGAGTTGTGACTCAGGAAAATCTTCTCGACATTTTTTCTTTTGTAAAATATATTTGTTAAAGATCTCATAGCATCATTATACTTAAATTAAGATAAATTATCAGATAAATTAAGAATCAGATAAATTAAGAAAAACTGTAAATTGTTGAAAGCAAAATCCGATTATCCAGTCGACATCTCCCAAAATCTGTGAAACTCATTTAGGGTTATTTAAGAGAAGCAAAAAATTAAAGTTATGTCCAAATACTTGTCCTATATTGAGCTTCCCTTGAGACTTTTGACCTGTAGAGCAGAGTCAGGTTTACTGAAACTTACAAATAACCTCATTCACTTCATTCATTGTTAAATATCTGGCAAACTGGCTCTAAAAGCTTTCTTACAGTGGAAACTGTTTATGAGTTATTCACTTTCTTTAATTTCTTATTTGCTAGATATGCTGCCATATCTAAAAAAATATATATATTTGTTTTGAAAATAAATCAAGGAATTTGGAGAAACATCCAGTCTTTGTCACATCTTCAAATTATGTGTCATTTCAAATGCTCCCATATTATAGTGTTGGTTTGATAAGTGACTGAAGTGCATCCACTAATCAACTGACCGGCTTTCATTGAAAGTTCAGTGCGGTGCACAGTTTTGTGCTACACGATTGGTGAAGTAATTATTAGCTGGACTAACCCCCATTTCCTGGCATTCATGATTTAACTCATAAAACAGGTTTCAGGGCTTTTTAGATAATCTTATGCTTTTTACCCATTTTTGTTCTTTAGGTGCCGATAAAATGGATGGCTCTTGAATCGATTCTGAACAGAACTTACACTCATCAGAGCGACGTCTGGAGCTATGGTAAGACTAATGCTCTGTATTTAAAGCAAACACTTCCAGTGTCCCAGATTGAGCTTTGAATAGCTAAAACAGCTGAGCCTGTGTGCTTTTCCTGAGTATTAATGGCAGACTCACTGAAAATCATTGTTGAATAAAGTGTTTTAGCAGCAAGCAAAGCATAGAGCAGATTCTGTTTCTCGCTGGATGTTGACTTTGGAGTTTTTGAAGCTGTTAAACATTTTAGAACACAATAAAAAGGGAATATTTCTCTCCAGCATGTGAAACAGGTATTACTCACCTACACAGCAGCAGGTTCAGATGGATGATTTTACGTCAGAGGAAATCGTTATCTCATCCCACTCAGATCATCCCTTCACTTCAGGACAGAACATACGGAGAAATACCTCCACACACACGCACACACAACCAAACCAAACACAGCAAGGCTTTTTTAGAGGAGGCCTGCTTCCAACATTTCCTTTCCCAAGGGTTTGATCGCGCCTCCCGCTCAATCTGGCAAAAGCATCAGCAGACCCTGGCAGAAGTGATCGACTTCCTTTCCTCCTTTCTTCCCCCTCCTTTGGTTCCTCCAGCCCTGCGATGCATCCTGTCAACTCCCACTCCTGCATGTGGAGCCAATTTGTCCATGTTTTGATAGCATGTGATATTTGAGGAGCGTACATCCTGTCAACTTCTGTTTCTTCTCCTTTATTGGGGGGCAAAAAGAAAAGTGAATGACAGCTCATTGCCCTAACATTTACCGACTGCCTCTCGCGTCTGTCTCGTAGGTGTAACCGTCTGGGAACTGATGACGTTTGGTACCAAACCATATGATGGGATTCCAGCCAGTGAAATAGCCGGAATCCTGGAGAAAGGAGAGCGCCTCCCTCAACCACCGATCTGTACCATAGACGTCTACATGATCATGGTGAAATGTAAGCACTTCCTCTTGAGGTTCTATTTACACAACTTTGAAAAAGTAATCTTTTTCACATTACAAGCGGAAGAATCCATGCATTTTATTTATATGATGGATCAACACCAAGTAGTGCATACATTTGAAGAGGATGAAAAATGACACATTGTTTTTTAATATGTTTACAAATAAAAATCAGATACCGATGACTTTCAGATTTCAGATTATTCTTAACTTTGACTATCTTTGACATAAAGTGCTGTTAAAATATATTGATTCTTGTGTTTGTAAAGTGAAAAAGTAAACATTACAACATCGCAATTTTACATACCTGCGTTTTTGTTGGCCCTGGTAATCAATAAGTTGGGATTTTTCCAACTTCAAACCTTCATGCTTAAAAGTGTAACATTAATTATCTTCACAAATGTGTCTGCGCAGGTTGGATGATTGATGCAGACAGCCGGCCTCATTTTCGAGAACTAATAGCCGAGTTCACGAAGATGGCTCGAGATCCTCCGCGCTATCTTGTCATCCAGGTAAAAATGTACCTCACTTCTCAGATGTGCTGTAAGTCCGCTGAAGGACTTTTCTGGTGTGTTAGAGCAACTAAGGCATATTTCTTTTTCAGGGCGATGACCGCATGCATCTGCCGAGTCCAACGGACACCAAGTTTTACCGCAGCCTGATCAGTGGAGGGGACCTGGATGATGGCGTAGATGCAGATGAATACTTGGTGCCCCAGCACAGCTTCTTCAGCAGCCCAAGCACCTCCTACACCCCGCTGCTTCACTCCACGGTATGTTCCTCCATGCACAAAATGCAGCGACAAGTGGTAAAGCTATTTCTCTTTCATAAAAGTAACATTCGTATTACTAAAAGAATATACATTCTCAAAAAGCAAATCCAATTGAAATATTTCTCCCAAATTCGCTCTGATGTTTGAGAAATATGTGGCCACATTGCTGCTTAATTTTGCAATTATTTTTTTAACTTTGAAAAGAACACGCTGTTGGCTCATCTGGTCTGATATGAAGCAAAGCAATTACTGATACGGACGAAAGGTTTAGTAGTGACATAACTGATGTATAGTAGCTCCAAGTTCTTTGAAAACAGACAACCCTTTCCCAGTGCCATTAAGATCAGGGGCCTTTCTGTTCTCGGGTTCAAAATGTCAAAGTTCTGATCTTCAAACAAGTTCTTCAACACTTTTGCCTTATGAATTTTGCTCCATTGTGCTGGAAAATACCCAGATAACTGTGATATTGTTTTAGGTTTCTTAGAAGACCTCGTGGTCCAATTTATTTGTGGCAGAGCTCTTAAACAGAATTATGAATAAGCCCAGTCTATTGGATGAGAATCAGCTGCACACATGGATTTTTCACTGTTGGCACCACAAATGGTTTTCCAAGTGTCAAAAGTAATCAGATGTAGGATCCATCAAATGAACAAACTCCCTCCCAATTCTCAAATGTCCATACTTGTAATTCCTGCACAGTTTCAGGCTGTGCTTGATATTTATTTTTTTGGACAGAAGTGTTTTCTTTGCAGCCTCACTTTGGTCCAAAAGTCTTTTCCAGATTGTACCGGCAGATTCACCAAACTGCTCAAACTGTTGTGCAAGCTCTGCACTGGTGGCAGATCTGTCAGAAATAGGTTAGGTCAGCTCCTCTGAAGATCTCACCTTCAACTTTATGATAGTGAATAAAATTGAAGGCGTTCCTTCACGTGTACTTTTCTTTGCAGCATTTTTTTTTAATTAATTAATTTATTTTTTGTACATGGGTCCATCTTGATGCATAGTAAAGTTGGTAACAAGCTTTTTTGGACACAACTGTTAACATAAAATGGTAATAAAGTCAAGCACATTTAAGTATTGTTTATATAAATTGGTCTGCTAATAAGATAGAACGGCTCTTTAATAGTTCTAATAATAATTTTAAAAACTGGCATGTTTATTTTGTTTCAGACCAAATATATATATATATATATATATATATATATATATATATATATATATATATATATATATATATATATATATATATATATGTGTGTGTGTGTACAAAGTGAATTTTTAGCCTATTTAAGCTAACTGCTAACTATATATAGACATCAAGTCAATCTGGAAATTGTTTTTAAAGCAATGTAAATGATCCTGAAAAGAAAAAAAAAACACTGCACATCAATTCAATATTCTTTGCCTTCCACAAGATGGCGCTGTTTTATACAAAATCTGACCCTAATCTACTGCGTATTTATGTGCATTTTGATGCATAATTCTGTACCTGATACTGCTCTTCCTTTCAATACATTTAAATAAAAGGCGCATAATGAGCTGGTTCATCATAATTACCGGTTCAAATGAATACTGGGGCCTGGAATAATCTTGTAATTATTTTTTATTTTCCTCATTTCTTTTTTTGAGTCAAAACTACAACATCTTAAGTCACACGTGGCACACATTTCCTTTCTTATATTTTAAAATCTTGACAGAAAAAAAATAACATATAAGCAGAAATCCCAATGGGCAGGTCAAAGTAAGAAAACTAGAATTCAGTACCAGCCACGATAAACATGAAGGAGATGTTTTCCATCGGCAACATGATTGGTGCATCTCATTCAAAATATTTGCTTCGAATTTGTGATAATTTATTTGGATGTTAGTAATTCAAATTAGCTATTTATTGATTTGATCTGCATGATTAATCAAAATAAGACATGAGCAAATCAATCAGCCAGAAACTTTTACTGGACAATCACTTAACATCTCAGATTGACGATTGACAGTTCCAACACAAAGAAGTCCAATTTTTACTCTTTTTCTGTCCTGTTCAGTTCATGCTTCAAAAGTTAAAAAAAACAAACAAAAAAAACATTTTTGATCTATAAACATATCAACTAACAATATCTGCTTTGATCTTCTTTTATTACGTTTTATAAAGAGTAGATGAACGTTTGAGACACAGGTTTGACTAGGACGATCTTGTAGTAGCTTGATGCGGTCAAGTGTTTAAAACTGAAAAGTTAACAGAGCTGTTTTCGCCGTGTTTTTGGAAAAATCAGATTTCTGCAGAAATCATTACTCTGCAAGTCAGAATGAAAAAGTCAGTCATCTTTCATCTCAAGGGAATAAAAATATCTTTTGCTTACCGTAAGGCAGCAATTAAAAAAAAAACAAAAAAAAAAACATTACCATCTAAACTAATCAGGGAACTGGAGCCAGTAAAATTGGAAAAGTGGCCAGCGTTACCTGGATTGACCCACATTGGCAGCAGCCGCCCTCCCTCTGACAGCTGTCCTGGCCTGATCTCACCCACACGGCGTCCTCCAGCTGCCTCGCACCCACGTTTCCTCCCAGATGGCTTTTTGATTGATAAGGACCTTCTGTGTAGGCCATCAGTGGGCCAGACTCCTCTACCTGGAACTGTCGTCAGCCGCCTGTCGGTTCATGTGAGCTTTCAAGCTCGATTACCTTTGCAGACAGTCAGGAGGACTGTAGTAAAGCCTCAGTGCGAGCCTTCTTTTGTTATGTCACTCACTGTTAGGCAGAAATGTTTTTCTGCTTCACTGTGTTTAATTTCCTTTTTCTTGTTGAAAGTAATTGCATTGTCACACCTGTCATTCCCGTCTTCATTCTTGCTTCCTTTTAAGCGTTTACAGCCCAGACAGATGCAACAAGGCTTGGTATATGAATTCATGTAAATTTGCTTTGTGGATTTTTAATTTGATCTTTGTGTTTTCCTGAAAATGCTAGTTTGCCCTTTTTTATAATTTAAGTAAAAGCACATTAATTGTCATTAACCTTTCTGTCCCCTGAGAGACTTTAAAGTAATTCACAGCAAAGTGATGGTATACAGTGGAGACATAAAATACAAAATAAAAATAAAAAAAAATGTTGGGGTCAAAAGTGAAAGAAAGATCATAGGATACATTATGTGAGAAATTAATTTAATTATTTTCTGTTTCAGAGCACTAATAGCAGCATAGGGACGAGCAAAACCAGAAATGGCTTAATGGTAAGCAAAAACTGAACTTAAAATTCCTTAATAATTGTGCTTACCTCCTTGTGTTATCTGTTTGCATTATTTTTCAATTGGAATTGTTTCAGATTATTGAAAATATATGTATTTTGTTTCAGAACGGAGTCCCAAGCAGAGACGGAAGTATGGTTCTCCGATATATGCCTGACCCCACAGACAAATTCCTGGACGAGGCCTTCCAGCCGGCTCCAGGCGAGTATTTGCCTTTTAAATGTGAACGTGTAAATGTGGATGTCTGTAGATTCTCTGCAGAGCTTTCTCCATGTCCTTCAGTTTGATACAGTAAAAACTGAGACATCTAGTGGTGAGGAAAAAGGACTGAAAATGCCTTTTATGATACGCTTACTCTCTTTTGTTTTTTTTTTGCATTTTCTTTGATTAAAGAGTATCTCCTGATTGTTAAACTTGACCTATTGAGAAACTGAAAAATTCAAAGCAATGTGCAAGTCATTTTTCAATAAGCCTAGCAGTTTTATTTTTATGAATGGAAAGGAACGTCTTTGAATGGCTCAAAGTTCAAACCTAAATCCAATGGAGAATCTCTTGCAAGACTTAAAAAGTGTTGTTCACAGTTACTCTTCATCCAATCTGAGTGAACTCGATATGTTATGGAATGAAGCATAGGCAAAAAAAAAATAAGGCTTTTGTGCATGATTTGTATGTGATATGTACTGATAGAGGTGTACTCTAAAAGATTTGTACTTGCAATAAAAGAAAAAGGGTCCATAGTTACACACAATTATGGACTTCTTCATGTTAATCTATCACATTATAGTTCAAGAAAATACTTTACTTTAAAGTTTGCTGTTGTAACAAGACAAAAGTGGAGTACCCTGACAACAAGCAGCATCATCTTACTGCTTTATCCAATAAGATCCCTTTGTTTGTCACTGAAAATATCTTTCCACTGATTGTCATTTCAGCTAAAAAAAAAGAAGGAAAAACTATAAAATGTATCATAAAAGCTATCAATTGTTTTTTTTTTTTTTTTTTTTCCTTTCTGCAGACTACATGAACCAGAACGGAGTCTCCAATGTGATAAATCCCGTCTACCAACATTCAGGTCCACCTCGCACCCTTCTTCCAACCATCTCTTCAGACGATACAGAGTCAGAGTACCTGAACTACTTTAAGAACGGAGCCAACGGACCTGAATACCTCAATGAGCTCCCGTCCTCCACCGCCCTACCCCTCAACTCCAACAACACGGCCATCGGCGGTCAAAACTACAGGCCTCAGAACAGCATGGACAACCCAGACTACCAACAGGATTTCACTCCCACTTTCAAGACACACACAAATGGACACATACCAGCAGCAGAGAACGTGGAGTACCTTGGTCCGGACTGAGGAAGGAAATTGAATAAATCTGTGAATAAGAGTCTGTTTTTTTTCTTCCTTTGGGAAAGTTATTCTCTGTGGCTGGAAACTCAATATGTTGTACCATGAGTGAAAACATATGCAAGAGTTTGTTTCTCAGCACCAAACTTTTCTCGCCTGAGAGCAGGAATACGAATGGGTTAAGTGTGTCTCAGTCAACCTTCGAACTGCTGGCTCCAACTGTGAAGGATGGCTGCAGAATGGATTGGAACCTTTGTTGCTTGAAACTGAAACGAGTGGTACACATTGCTGCAGACCTGTGTTGGACTCAAAAATTTCTCAGTTTGGTGTCCATTAAACACTGAATATGTGAGCAAATGCAACTGATGGGACTGTGGTGGTTTTCACACTGATGTTTTGTGGCTCATAATTTGCAGCACTTTGTAACATGAAAGTATATATATATATATTTTTTTTTTTGTTGTTTTCCAGATTTGACAGAGGGCTTCCCTACAACAGTTATCTAAAATCAGAGCCTGTCTTTATTTTTATGCTTGCCAAACACAAGCACAAAAACATTTGTTTTTATCCCAGATGCATTTTGTTTTCTGTCTGAATAATGTTTATAAAAAGCTGGGTGAACAGTCTGAGGCCATGCGCGTGTAATTTTTAGCTGTAGAATTTCATTGTGCGGTTTTTTAAAAAATGAGGCTGTTTAAAAAAAAAAAAAAAAAGATTACAAAAGTCTGTTTATTTGTTTTATAAGATAGATGTTTCACATGGTGTTGACGCCATATGTGAGAGACCGCCTCTTTGCTTTATAGTCAGTCCTCTGTAAATGTTGTTCCTAGTTTTAAAGGAATAAACTAATGTAGCATCTTTTGAAAAATAATTTACACAGGTACATGTACAGCCAATGTTTAATATCCTTAAATATACTCAAAATTAGCTGTCATGAATACTCCATAAAGTTTTTGTCATACATCTATGTGAATATGCACTTGTTTCTGATTGTGACCATATAATTCAACAAAGTACGTGAATAAATTTTCTTTCTATAGAAAGGTATGTTTTTGGTGTCGCAGCTTTGCATGTGAATGTTGAAATGCAAGAACGCAGGACCTGATTCATTCAACCGCTGAGCCTGTTATTTATGGTAACTTCAGTCAACCATTTAATTAAGTCTTTAATCATATTATGGTCAGCTTCAAAATCCTTATTCACTTTCTTGCTGTCTTAAATTTAGGCTACAAGGCAACTAAGAATATCCATAAAATAAAAACTTATCCAGCACTATCAAAGTTAATGATTTTTAATTTATGGTTAGCTAAGAACTTGTGAATTGTTTGTATTTATGTTGAAAATGCTGACTAGGCTTGCTGCAGCAACTTAAGGTTGCCAAAATGTTTTTTTTGTTTTTTTTTTTTTGTCTTTTTTTACATTACATTGAGATTTTTGGACATGGTGGTGGCCAGAAATATTAGTAGCCCTTAGTTGCGTTAATATAGTACAAATAAAAAATATTGAGACATAGAAGCATTTACAAAGTAAAATATTAATTATCATCACATGTACAAGTATTTATTTGAATTTCTAAAACTAGAATGAAAACATGGAAGAATGCAACCAAATGAAGCTGTTCCAGTGAGATCACAAGGCTTCTCAGCTTTGCATTTGTCCTATTTATTTTTGTTTAAAAGCATTAGTGTGTTTAACAATCTAGAAAAAAAACAACTATCATTAAGATAGCCAAACATAACATTTCTATAAATGCCAGAACATACCAGCTGTTGTACTGCTCATGTTACAAAAGCAATCAGTTTTCTGGATGGCTGGTTGCATTCTGTAATACAGCAACTGTCTTTGGAAGTTACAAAACCACAGTTAATCATTATTCTTAGGAAGAAGAAAATGGTGTTTCCCATTAAGTTTATTCACCCACCCAGGCCTCGCCACTTCTTATCTGTGCACACTTCCCGAAACCCTTAGTGATAGTTTTATAGTCATATGGTGTAGATTTAGATAGAGTATAAAACACTCCTTTATAATGGGAAATTTATTTTTACTTCTCTTCATAATAAAACTTAAATAAATGTTACGATATATCAAAAGGGGATGTGCACTATAAAACAGAATAACATATTGTGAGGCGTAACAGCACACCAACTTATTCAAAACAAACATCAGCCTTTTTTCCAAGAAGATCAGTGTCATAACATCAACTTCTTGTCTGACTCATAACGCAGGGCTGGAAGGCATTTTGTGTTTTCTGGGCAAAGTGCAACAATTTAGACAAGTAGAAAATATTAATAAATGGTTTAATTGGGAATATATTCACCCTCACTTGAAAGAGAATCAAGGTCAAGGTCTTTTATTTTGTTGAACAGATTTATAGGACTACTTAAATACATAACGTCATAAACATAAGGAGTTAGAAACCACCAGTCAATATTATTTAGCTCTGATAAGCAAATACTTCAAACAAACTACTACTAACCCTATCATACCATAAAAGACAAAAAACACTATTTGTACCCCTCTTTTAAGTGGTAGTTGAACATGCTGCAGTGAAGCATAACGGGAAGGGTGAATTTCAGTGCAATTTCAAATTATTGATGGTCATTCCCTTAATATTTCTAAAATGTTTTAATTTCTTTTGAAAACAACAAAAGTCTCAATGCTGAAAATTAAATTTCTTACTAAATATTTACTGAATAGGAACTAGTCAATATATGTAACCAGTAGCTTCTAGGTAGCTGTATTTAATTTATTTTACTGCATAACACCATATTGTGTTATCATCTTGAGACATAGCAAGGTTAGTATGAAAAACTCAATATATCAGTAAAGACCTTTATGACCCTTTTTGTCAATGAGAAACTGATAACAGGGAATGCTTTACAGGTCTAAAGTCGGACTCTGATCCTGATTGACTAAACATCTCCTGTCTACGGACGAGTCTTATTTGAATACAGTAAATGCAACTGACTATCTGATCAATCTGTGTTTGTGGAGCAATAAATTAATCAGTAATCAGTGAGTTAATACTGTTTTTAAAATACAAAATTGAACAGTAGCTTAAAAAGGACAGACTGTATATGTGGGGTTGCAAAATGATGATACATTTACTCCTTTTATGATGTTTACAGTGAAGTTATGTAAAGTGAGTTTAAGTGTTTTTACCGTTAAATGAACATAGAATCTTAAAAATTCCATAAGCAGTATTGCATATGGATGCCTATTGTTTCGAGAAACACTCTCGAAAATGTTCTATAAATGGAAATTATTGATTAACATTTAAATCTAATTGCTTAATTAAGTTAATTAAATAATTGATTATTAAAATGAAACAAATGTTGAATGTTAATATTATGGACTATCCTGAGATAACTGCTTAAGTCTAAAGTTTGACAAATTTTTGTTCTATTTCTTTACATTTTCTTGGGTTCAAATTTGGAGGTTGATTCTATGCTGCAAAGTTTAGTTTGAATAAATAAAATGTGATTTTTGGTGGGGGGTTTTTTCTACAAGAATAAAAGAGACAAATATTGGCTAGACAACCAAGCACAGGCAGATGTCGCTTTATATTTATTTCCCTTTGCAGAATCCCATGATTCCACTGTGAGCGCTGAACATTCTCTGCCGCTTGGTGGCAGCACTGGCCTCCGCCCCTAAAGAAAACGTCACAGGAAGAAGAGACCATCAACAAGATATGCGAAAGTTTAGCTGGACTGTCAGTTAATTTCGATGATTTCAGAGAGAGGGATGGGGCCCACAGCAGGGAGGCTCGGTTCCACTGTTCTCTTCTTCATTATACTGCTGTCAGGATACTATCGATGGGTGAGTGTGGCTGAACGTTCCCGGACTCGTGACTGTTTCGTGACTCAGCCTTGGCTACAGCTGCTGTTGTGATGTTTATCCGAGGCGGAGAACGAAACTGGATAAACATATTCTGTTTATCGAGTCTGCATTATAACCTAATGTAGACTGGAGATAGCTTTTTCAACTTACTGGATTTATGCTCGCTTGAAAATATGTTTTTTAATGGTTTAAGACAAGCCGTGCTTTCGTTATTGAGAGCTGATTGAAATCAATCGCTTCAGGGAGACAGGCTTTACTTTTTAAAAGACTGGTTGTACTGGTTGTGTTTAAATTCGCGGCTGTCGAAACCTATAATCATGAGAAAAGCAAAACTGCTTTTTTAGGAAGAAGAAAATAGTTATTGAAACCTCAAAACACGAGTTTAATTGCTAGCTGAGCGAAACACAACATTGCACAAGTTCACTGCTAAATATAAAATAACCAGGCGGATATTAAAACACCATCTTGTATAACCTGTATATTTCTGGAGACTGAGCACTTTTTTGATGACAAAAAGCAAATAAAATGTTTACCGCTTGTCTTTGTTGGAAGCCGAATTAACAAATTATTTCAGTGAATTTAAAATGCATGGTCGTCCAGTGATCAGAATTAGCCAGATATTTCATTAATCACAGTTGATCTATTCAGTAAATCCATCGTGAAAAGCAACACATCTCACTTTTATTTTGAAAACATCATGTTCTGTGATTCTCACCTTGTGCCCCTTCTATTTTTCCTGTTAACTACAGACGAAAAAGACATCTGACAAGTTCTTAAATTGTGATAGTAGTTTTGAAATTCACTAGAAAATTAAGAGATTAGAACAATACTGTAACCTTAATTTCTTTATTTCTGCTTTATGGATATTATCCTAACCTTTGTATCATATAATGAACTAAAAATAGGTGCATCAAAGGTACAATGTTGGTTGAATGATTTATAGACTGAAGATGTTGGGAGGTCTTTGTTTTTATACATTTAACAGATGGGCATCAAATGTTTGTTTTTTTCGGTATTTGAAATGCAGACAAAAATCAATGGAATATTGATTGGTTAATCTTCAATAGAAACTTACATCAAGGACGGTCATCCTTGTTGTTTAAATTCTTCAGACGGACAGCTACACCTAAGAGTTGCACAAAAGAATAAACAAAAATTAAACTAAATGCAAAAGCCAGATTTCGCACAGCGTTGTTGTCTGGCGGTCCTGTTTCATTAACTTAACATGTCTGTCCAGTTCAGGGGTATTGCTAAACAGAAAGTGACTCTGTCCCTTTGCTTTAATTTAATCAATTGTAGGTAATACTCACTCGTTCTCAGTGACCTCTCACAACATTATTTGCACTTCTTTACATGATGCAATTAGTTCGATCCTCTGCAACGCACAGATCTGCTTTGAAACTGAGCTAAGGCGTCTGAAATGTCATTAATCATTACTGTTTTAAGATAAGGTAAAAAAAAAAGAAAAAAAAAACTGAAAAGAATGCTAGAATCAGCGCAAATATTGACTACCTGAA